CTTGGGTGACGTGGAAAGAGTTTCACTTTAATTACTTGATTTATGAAAAAATAGTCAATACTGGGTAAGAATCTCTCTTATTGAAATAATCATATACCCATTGTTCGTTTATGTTTTTGTGGACAATTTTAATGCCATACCTTTTTTTTTCAGGTCAATTTGATAGAAAAAAAATCAAACGACTCGACTGGGATTCAAATGTAAACGCCAGAAATCGCTGAATGGTGGGGACGAAACGCGCATGAGGAGAAGGCGTTTTACAGCTCTACGTACGACGTCTGGAGGTGCTTGTCCTCTGTTTTGGTGTCGGCGACATCAAAGCTTGGCAAAACCTCCCTGTATCATACCTTAGACACCCCCATTGCGTGTGGCGCCCTCCCACTCTTGGGATGCAGTACTACGATGCTGTTGGGGTCACTCCAACCTCCAGAACTGAGCCTCTACTTTAGTCAATCCTCTTTGGTGCCCAGCGTTTAGGAAATGTTCGTCTCTGCTGTTGGAGCCGAGTCGTCCACTGTATTTATCGCAACACGTGGATTCGATCATAACCTCTCTTAAAACGTCAATAATCAATCTTGTTAAAAATTGTTTAAACAATGGGGAAACAGGGGCCACGTCTGACGAGCAGGAAAAAAGCAAAGCGATGGCAGAAGGGCCAGAGCTCCAGCTCTAATCCAGAAACGAAGAAACATCGAGAGCAGGCCCGGTCACGTTTCTTCCAAGAGCACCTAGGTAATCTATTATGTAGAAAAATTCTTTTCTTTATCCTATTTCATTCAAATTTGTTATTATTCCTTCCGCATTCCCTCTCAATCAATCGTTATCAATGGAGCAGGATAATCCACTTCAACTCTCACATCAATTTTCTTATATCGAATAAAAATATCGATCCGTCTATATTGTCCATCATTCATAGGTTCTACAGGGCTGACCACCGAGAGTCTTGTGAAACACGATGCATTGCAAGGTCTAGAGCATCTAGAGATTTCAGACGACGCCTCGACGACGACAACCTTCAAAACCTTCGACACATTCGCGAGTGATTACTCCAACTGCTCTAATCTGTCCTTCTCTCGTTTCCTCACGCACTTCCAGTCTTCATCAGCACTCCACAAGGAGATGCTGGCGATCCTCGCAGCGGTGACGGAGGTAATAAAACAAAACAGTGGGACAGAGTCGTCCACTGAGTACTACGCCGCCCTGATGACAACCCTGGAGCAAGCAGAAAGCGAAGAATCTGTGGCAGCGATTCTCTCCCTCCTGGGAATGGGCCTGAAGACCGTCCCGAAGAGTGTTCTGCAGCTGCAGTTCAGCGAGGCCAGTCATACGTTCTTCCAAGTCCTCACAAAATTCGCTCCTAGTGACAACTACCTAATCCTGCGCCACTGCATCGGGTGTCTATCTCTTCTGCTGCGTTCGCAGGAGTCTGCCGTCTGGTCCAACTCCTCGACGATCCATGTCCTCAATGGAATTCTCGCCTTCACAGTTCATTCAAAGCCAAAACTCCGAAAAGCCTCGCAACACGCCATCTGTGCCATTCTCAAGGGTAGTGACCTCATGCGAACTGATAATCCACCTGCGTACCATCCAGCAGCTCACCAGGTGGCCAAGCATTGTCTCCATCAGCTGGAAAATGCAGGTCAACCTGGTACGACCACAACAACTCTCCACATTCTTACACTCCTCAAGGATATTGCCCATCAACTCCCCAAGAGCCACGTCAAGTCCATCTGTGAAGGTCTTCTGAGAATTATGACCTTGAACAATCCACTGGTGACCTCGTGCTGTCTCCAGACCTTCCATAGTCTTTTTATCTCGAAGCCTCCAGAGAGTGTTCTCCCCAGTCAACTCAATGCCCAGATAATTAACGCTCTGTACGATTATCAGCCAGCTCCTGGAGACACTCAACCCACCCTGGCCTGGCTAGCAGTGATGCAGGAAGCCCACTGCAACCTGGCGAGTAATTCCCTTTCCCTGTGTGCCGCTAACCTCCCCAGGATCATCGAGAAGACCTCTGAGCTCTGGCTGTCTGATAAAACTGAAGTGGTCACAGCAGCCTCCCACACCATCAAGAATCTCATTCAGGTGTGTGTTGCTATGATGTGTGAGAACGAGGCAGTGGCTGAGAACTACAAAGCACCCCTGGGGAAGATTATTCAGCTGGTGCAAGGTGGACTCAAGTACCAGTTCAATTCAGCTTGGCACCATGTGCTGCACCTGTTGGCTGTGGTATTCCAAACGGCTGGGGGTTGCTGTCACAAGGAATTGTCTCCGGTTCTGGTGGAGCTCGCCGAGTTGAGGGACTCTTACAAGTTCACATATAACTCTGAAGTTGAGTATGCTGTGGGGGCCGCTGTGAGGGCCATGGGACCAGAGTTAGTCCTCGCTAAAATTCCTCTTCAAACTGGGCCCGAGGGGATTGATTTAAGGAGAAGCTGGTTACTACCAGTTCTGAAGGAATGTGTGAGTGGTTCTTCCCTTGGATATTTTGTGAGTTACATGCTGCCACTGGCGATCATGTGTGAGAGAAAGTCGAACGAGCTGAAGTCGAAGAACGATGGAGTAGGAGCCCACAGTCACGAGCTGCTCAACTCCCAAATCTGGGCGCTTCTTCCCTCCTTCTGCAACAACCCTAGGGACATCAAGGACAGCTTCAAGGACCTGGCAAGGATCTTAGGCATGGCTATTAGTGAGAAGAAGGAGCTGAGGCTGTCAGTGATGGCATCCCTCAGGAAATTAATAACGAAATCCCAGGAGGAGGACAGAAAGGAGGACGTGGAGACACTAGCGAGATATGCCAAGAACTACATGCCTCTGCTCTTTAATCTCTACACTATAAAGCCCAATGGCTCAGACGAAGAGGGACAGCGTCAAGCTGCTTTTGACACCATCAAGGTCTACTTGACAATTACTCCTCAAGAAGTCACTGGAGAGCTCTTCGACAAAGCCCTGGAAAAACTCCAGGCGGAGGGTAACGATGACTTCACGAAGCAAAGTGTTTTCGATCTTATACGAATCGTCACTCAATTCACTGACAGTAATCGTTTGCAATCTCTCTATGAAAAGATCGTCCCAATAATTCTCGAGGACAAGACCCCGAAGGACCAAAAGAAGGCGTACAGATTCCTTGAGGAAATTTGTGGAAGCCAGTCTGACGTCTGCAAGGCGTACGTACTTGAGCATCGAAAGGCTGTTGAAAAATTGATAATCACTGCTACTGAGAAGGTCTGCACAACAAGCAAGGGTGCAAGGCTCCGGTGTATATCCCATCTCGTGGAGAATCATCCCCAGCTTGCGAGGTCTAAATTCTTCAAGGCCATCGTTCCAGAGGTCGTTCTGTGCATCAAGGATTTGAACAAAAGATGCAGAACGACTGCCTACGAGTTACTTAATGTAATAGCTGACAAGTTTCTGGAGAATGCGGATAATTTCAAGGAGTATATCGACTTGTTGGTGTCAGGCCTGGCTGGAGCACCTATTTACATCAGTGCAACACTCCTGGCATTGGCTTCCTTGACTTACAAGTACAATGGAACCGTCGGGGTTGCCACCCTCAAGGATATTTTGGGGAACACCTGCGTTTTACTGACTGGTCCAACCAGGGAAATCGCCTTGTCAGCCCTCAGTTACATCAAGGTCTATCTCTCTGCTCTCCCAACTGCCATCATTGGCCCCAACTTGGAGGCGATAATCCAGGGACTCGTGGGGATGACCGACGACTGCAAGAGACACTTCAGGCAAAAGGTTAGAGATATCCTGGTAAAGCTCATCAGGAAGTTTGGCACTGATACCATCATAAGCATGGTTCCAGCTTCTGACCAAATGATGCACAAACGATTACGAAATATCAAGAAGATTGAGATGAGGAAGCAAAAGGCGAAGGAGGAGAGAAAGGGTCAGAATGGGGAAAACGAGAGGGACGAGGAGGAGTTTAATGTCAAGAGGATGCCCAAGAGTGTGGAGGAGATACTGGCGGACAGTGATGAGGAGTTTGATGATGACAATGTGAGAGAGGAGTCTAAGGGAAAGAAAACTGCGCGGAGAACATGGATTAAGGAGAGTGGAGAGGATATTGTGGACTTTGCTGATCCCTCAGCAGCTAGGAACATCACTGGAACAAGACCTGGTGAGTCTGTGAAAGTGAAAAAATCCAAGGACAAGGATCATGGGTTTAAAACTGCTGAGGATGGACGGCTTATCATCAAGGACAGTGACGATGAGGAAGATGAGGAATCGACAAAGAAGAAGAAGAAGAAGCTGCCGTTCTTGGGGAGTGATTCTGACGACGATTACCAGGAGGAGGAGGATGATAGTAAGTCTCTGGTGTCCTCTGGGGACACCCGACCCAAAAGGAAAAGGAAACTGAGCGGCAGTGAAGCTAGTAGTGTGGCTACCTCGAGGTATCAGGCTGGGGGAAAAGGAATTCATAGACCTGTCAAAGCGCAAAGGATCGAGAAGACACCTGGTGCTGAGTTCAAGGGAAAGAAGGCACCAGGGGACGTGAAGAAAAAGGGCAAACATGATCCCTATGCTTATCTGCCGCTCACCAGGGCATCGTTGAATAGAAGAAAGAAATTGAAGAATGCGGGCAAATTCAAGAACATCGTCGCTGGGGCCAGGAAAGGGGCGCAGGCGGGCACCAGAGGCAGGAGGAGGAAATAGATTAGTATAGCTTTATTATCTAGCGTATGATAATAATTATGTGTGATTTTTTTTTCTTGATTAAATACTAATAGTTGTTGGAGGATAGAAGTGTGTCATTTGCCCTTTGATCTCGTTGATAGATGAAGAAGTTGTGGATAATAGGAACTGATTCAAAGTCCGTGATTTTCAAAAAAAATCGTTTATTGCGATGATCGTACATTAAATAATTTAATTCATAGTCTCAATCTTAATTAGCTCCTGAAACATAAAATTATTGGGAATTATTGGTAATGAGATTTTTGGCGGTTTTTGGTAGTTCTATAGAAGCTAGGGGGATATCTATGGGAATATGATTATTTCTTTGAAGCTAAAGGATTTGTTTAGAAAAATTAAGTGTTGAAATGGTGAAAAAAAAATTAAAAATCGGGGTGGGGACTGAATTTTAATTACATCTACATCAAATTATCCGATTTGGATAAATAGAGACTCATTTTCGAATTGGTGAAAACATTTTGACAATACATACAAAATTCGACTAGAAATAATTTAGAACAGAAACTGAAGCTTACAATTCAAATGGAAAAAAACATGAATCCTTACTTTTTTGGAAGCATTCCTTCGAGTTCTCCAGATTCTAGCGCCTCCTTGACAAGATCCAACCCCCCCAGGAGTTCTCCGTTGACGTAGAGCTGGGGATACGTAGGCCAATTGCTAAATTTCTTCAGCCCTTCTCTGACAGTTTGATCCTGAAGAATGTCGAAGGATTGATAGTCAGCATTGAGTGAATCCAACAAGCCGACAATGGTCCTGGAGAAGCCACAAAAAGGGTTCTGGGGGTTGCCTTTCATGAAGAGCATGCAGGGAGCCTGGTTGATGAGTTTCTTGAGCCTCTCCTCGAGACTGACCTCGGGTTTGGTGACGTAGACAAGAGGGCCCTTCGGCAAGTGTGCTTTTATTTTGTCAACCAGTGCTGACGGATTTGCCCCGTCCACCCTGTCAATCTGTGCGAGATTCTTCACGAGGATAACCGTGGGGACAGCTGTGATTTTGTACTTGAGGGAGACCTCCGAGAGATCTTCAGCCTCGACCTTGGCGAACTGCACTTCCCCATTCTTGTGGGATTTTGCGAGGTCCTCCAAGAGCTCGTTCATCTGCCCACATTGGTCTGCCCATGGAGCGTAGAAGTGGATCACCAACAAATCTCGTGATCTTGAAAATAAACCAAATGATCACATAGAAATCTTCAGATTTTATTTCTTCCAAATTCTAAACCCAGATAAGGTAAATTCAACACTTTTGATAATTATCGACTGATATATATACTGATAATCCCAATCTCACTAACAATCCTGATAATAATCTCAGACTTTCTTGGTTTAATATCCAGTACAACCCTCTACTTTGCCGGAGGCTTAAAACACTCGAATAAAAAATAAAACAAAGTAATTTTTACAGATTTTCTGGTGACAATTAAATATATTAAGCAAGAGACATTTTGTTTCTTTGTGTGGATTCTTGGGGAAGGTTATGCCAGCTCTTGAGGATTCTCCGAGGGACTACCAATGATACTCACTTGATAAATTCGTCGAACTCCTGGACAGTTGCTAGGTTAGTCACTGACATTGTGCACTTATAATAGATTATTCGCAATTACTCTCGGGAAACTTAAATTAAAGGGTTAAGACACCGGTGTATGGAGAATGTAGTGGTCGATGAAAAACGAGTATGTTCAGGGCATCGCCATGTTCTCTATGAAGATTTATCTCGAACTGACGTCACGCTGACAAAAACACCTCCAGGGACGTAGCGCAATCATCAGAAAAATCTCAATGAGACAATTTGGTTGCAAAATTTAAACTGATCTTTCGTTTATTTATTCGGACGATGCCTGAATGAAAATCCATTCACAATGACTGAAACTAATAAATTAGCGTTTCCGAAAATATTTACCTGAAATTTTGATGTTTTTGTTCTTTTTTGTTGTCGTATAGCCGGGGAATTGCAATTTTGTTGGATATCCATATTGAAATTATTGGATTTTTTATAAAAAAGGAAAAAAATATAATGTAATTTTGGAGTTAGAGAAAATATAAATTAATTCCAGGACTAATTTTTGTTTTACTATTCAATAAAATTATTGAATTCCAGTAGAAAAAAAAACGGGGGAATAATAATATAATTTTAGAATAATTGTTTTTAACATGCAGTAAAATTATTGAATTCTTCAGTAAAAGAAAGGAAAAAGGACTTGATATAATTTTGGAGTTGGAGAAACTATAAGTGAAGTTGCTGAACTTAAAGTATGAGGATTAATTTTCAAAGTGTAATAGTGGGGCACTGAACTGGATAGAATCGTTCCTGATGCTCTAAGAGTAAGAAAAAGGGACCAATGAACCGATGGTGTTCAGGTGGTACCCACGATACCAGCGGAATAATCCAATGATTGATCGAACCCCGTTCTCCAATATTAGGGAGCACAAACTGTGGCTCTTCAAGTAGTCAACTTGTCAGTGAACAACAAGTATCACAATTATCAGAATGAACTGAGTCAACTGGTGACACGCCAGAGCCACCAGTGCCAGTGAGTCAGTCTTCTCCTGAGGGGGAAGTAGGTGTGGATTAAAAAATACAACTGGAGGCAAAGACCGAGGAGAGACAAGTGCCACAGTTGAAGGAGAAGAAATAAATAAGCAAAAAGGGGAAACATTGAAAGGAGGAAGAGGAGGGAATGTCACTGCGTGTGTAAAAAAGTTTTTTTCAAGCCAGATGCTTTCGCGCGCCTTCAGGTGCGGTGGAGTTTTTTTATCCTCCCGGTTACACGGATAATGTCCAAATTGTCGCGTACAACAGCCCTTGCATTGATATCAGACTGGAGTACAGATGATGTTATCGAGGTGCTGAAGAAAGTGAGTAGATTGATTAATCGAGGGAGTTGTCTTGGCTTTTTGTTATTCATTTTGTGTGCGGCTGTGAAAGGCGGGTAATTCGATAGTTTGTGAATTGTCGGAGGAATTCTGGAGTCAGCAATCCCTGGGATAAGAAACCTGAGATATTCAAGGAATATTGTCGAGATAATTGACGCAATTGATGTATTGTTTCAACGCGTCAACCGAGTGTTTCCAAAATTTCAACATTAATGGAAAAAAATTAAGTGCTTTGAGTGAAAATCCTACAAAATATTTTATTGTGCATTATTTTATTGTGCATAATTTTATTGTGCATAATTTTATTGTGCATAATTTTATTGTGCATTAGTCTGCTAATTGTGGCAGTTGAATTCACAACAATTTTTTATAGATTTTGACTTCCCACGTGGATGTAATGATTTTTGAGGAAAAATTGGTGTAAAGGGAAATTCGTTTTCTTATTTTGTCACGGCGTTACGGATTTCCTTCCTCTTTTTTTCTATGACATTGTATTCCATTTGTATTTCTTCCTCATTTGAATTTTGTCGAATTGACGGAGAGCCGACTCGACCACACGCAATTACGGAATGGGGATAAATGGATTCTGATTAATTCTTCAGTACTTCCTCGTTACATCGAGAATAAACGCCATGATCTGCCTAAAATCAAGTTGCCAATAAATGCTCGAAATTCATTCATCAGTTGATGGATTCGTTGGACAATTGGCTGTTCTCTTGGATTGACAATTTTATGGGATTTCCCCGACTTTCCCCGTGTCTGTCGCGTCAGACAATTCTGGTGTAAAGTGGTAATCTAGGATAAGCAAATTAAGCACATTTTTTTCGAAACCAGTTTTCTGCTGATATCTCGGAATTCAAGGGAGATAACGAGATTTTCATAAGAACTTTTTTTGGAGCTCTGATGATTTTCTATAGAAAATATTCATATGAAAAAATCGCTATGGTCATTCTATTCCGAGCTATCGGCGAAAATCTGGCCTCGAAAAAATGTACTTGTCCTAGTTTACGATTTCTGTTCTTCAGTTTCTTGTTATTGAGATAATGAATAACTGTTTATGTTCAGCATTGATTAGGTGGTTCACACCTTAATATCATTGCTTCAGAATGAAAGCATTGTAATCGTTTGATTTTAAGTCTGTAATTTTTCATGTTTGGAGTCAACTTTGGACTTGAGATTCCTGTTTAATTAAGGCATATCAATCTTTCCACAAAAATTTTCGTATTTTCCAGATCAATGACTCTTCTGTTAGGAAATTAGAAAATGAATTTTTTCGTAAAATATTCGTGTGCATGTGACCAAAAACTTCTTCGACGATTACTCAAAAAATAATTGCTCGATTCCATTCAACCAAGGCTTAATAGATTCAGTTCAGATTTCTCTTGACCGAGTTCGAAGATTTGCTACAGCTATGATGTCGGTCCAATGTGTCTTTAATGTTGGTGTAATGTTGGCCCAAGGTTGGTCGAATGTTGATGCAAGGTTGACTCAAGGTTGATTAGAATGAGATTAATTCACAAATCAAACAAAATATCTCCGACAATATTCACTTGAATATTTAAAAAAGAAAGTATTCGTCTAAATAAAAAACGTATTTTCTCTTGGAATTTGAAAATTGTGGAATTGAAATGATTTTTTTAATTTATATGAAATGGATAATCATTCGGGGGCGGATGGCTAATTTATTTGGAAAAATAACCGTATCATATAAGTATCCCACTCGTTTTATTATGGAAGATGTACCGGGCTTGGTTTATCTGATGTGAAGAGGAGACTAAACAGAGTTTATGCAAGTTCAATGTTCTGGGAACGTGCGGACACCTGTGCATTCCTTCACTAACGCACGGGATAAATATGATTTATGTTGTTTTTTTTTTAGAATGCCCTGGAAGACTGCTGTCAAGCGGTACTTAAACGACAAATCGACGGTGACGAGCTATTGGTGAGTAACAACGACACTCATTACAACGTTCCCGTGATAGTTTGAAAGTCTGACGGAGCGAAACTCGAATTTCTCTGGAGACAAGTTCTCAACAGACGTGGCCCGCATAAAGTAATGGGTACACTGAGAAAAAATTAACTAAAAAAATTATTGGAAACTACCAAATGAAATAGATAAATAGTTGTAATTATTTTTTCTTGTTTTTGTTATTACGAGTGATAAATATTGAATTGAATAAATTTGTTTAAGACGACCAATTGAAATTTTGGAGTTCGATTGTAACTTTTCGTGTTTGCAAAAATTCAAATGTGAAATTAGTATTTATTAAAATATGCCTGAGGATGCTTTTTTTGATTTAGAAACATATTTGGTAATGTCAACTAATTTTTTTTTAATATTAAGATTAGAAAAATATTTTTAAACCCCTCAATGGTCACAAAAATTGATAAAATAGAATTAAATAATTCATTTTTCTGTTTCGATTTTCCATAACTATATCATTAAGAGTATATTTATTTGTTTTTCTACATATTTGTGAAGAACTAATAAATGACGCGAGTCTATCGAAATATGTCTAAAAAAAAAACAAGTTACTCACTTCAAAAATATTTCTAATTGTTTAAAATGCAATTTTAATGATCATGATAAAAGCCGCAGGATATTTCCCTTGGAATCACTCAATTCTAGTATTTTCAATTAATTAATTTATTCAAATGTTTAAATATTGAATGATATTTATTATGCGAACAAAATTCGAATAAAGGAACAGGAGATTCTATTACAATTAATTACATAACAATTAATCATTACTATTCATTAATAAAGAAATAATTAATAAATTCCTGAGAAGTAATTTTGCTCTTTCTTTGTTGAGATCTTGAATATCTCATTATTCGTCATTTTTTTTCGCTTCCATTTATCAGCATTTTTTTTTCTCAGTCTCTTTTTGCCGGATGGCGCTTCTGATAACGAGGCTTCCGTTCAGGCGACAGAGTTCTGGAGAAGTTTTTTCAATTTGTTCCCCTCCTCTGAGTGATGCTAATGCGAGTAATTAAATGACGTATTTTTTCGTTGCAGCACTTGACTACTGGTAAATTAGCGCTGTGGAAGAGCGATTTGTCACGGGACCAAATATGGTAATGGAAAAAAAAAAGATTTCAATTTAGTTTAAGGAAGAGAGACTTGGCGGAATTTTTCATGATTTATGAAAGATTTTTTTATGGCTGGGGTGAAGTGGTGATAATGGAAGCCATTCTCATTCAGATGCGAATATCTCGAAACCGTTGACTTCATGGAAAAATCTTTATCTTGCAATCACTTGTTAATTAATTTATCGCCAGTTTATCCACTCATCTCACCCCTTTCGTCTAAAGTTATTTGCAAAATGATCTCAATTTTAGAATCAATTGAGAATACGCAAAACTCTTAATACTCCAATACTTTCTCAAAAAAATACCGTAATCGTAATAATATCGTAATAATTTCCGATATTTATTTATTTATTAATAGATATCAAGAGAATCTTAATTAATTTGTTCTTATTTTCACGGAATTTATCGCATGAAAAATACAAAGCCCGTCGTTTATTCCAGGCAATTACCTTCAGCCAAGGAAATTTTATTTATTCATTTAAATCGCAGAAAATTGATTAAAAAAAAGCTCTTGACAAAACCCTTGAATACGTTTTTGTCTGAAAAACATCATTGCAAAAAGCTCGCAGGAAACATCCGGGAAGCGTTCGCTCTCGAAGTTGTTTCCAAAATAATCTGCTATCCGCATTCGCCTTATCGTCTATTCTCACCACTTCATTCACAACTAATAAAAGATAAAAGAATAATAATGTTAAAATTTGTTAATTAAAAGTACGAATTTTTATTGTGCTTCCTGATGCCTTTCCTTCAAACTCAAGGACACTCTGGAACTTCGTGGAGTCGATAGTGCGATCTCCGGAGGACTATGTGAGTCCTCCGAGTCGTACGGCACCAGACGAGCCGATGAGCGACTCGGGCTCATGGGGTTCGGACTTCGACGACCACGAGGAGCACCCGGAGGAGGCGCGAGCGGCACCCCATCACGCAAAACCCTCAACAGAACGTAACGCAAACTTTCGGAATAGTCTCGCTTTGTTCGAGCTCAACGGCAAGCCACCGACTAGAAAAACTTCCCTCAAATCCCCGGACACCCCCGAGAGCATCTACATGAACTGTCCATCGGACGAAGAGGACACGACGTACATAAACGTAGAGCCCCAGAAGCTGCCTCCACCGAGAACCATATCCCAGTTTTCCAGCAAGCTGGAGAACTGCTTAGCCGAGAAATTGAAGGAGGAGCTGAAACTCATTATCCAGAAAGAGAATTCCACCGAGAAGAAACCAGAGATAGCACCAAGACCGACTTTGGCGGCTTCCAATATTTCCAGACGACCCCAAATGACCAACCCCATACCCAAGCAGATCATCAAGAAGCCCTTACCTCCTCCAGGCACCCCCAAGAAATTCCCAAAGGTACCAGATCGTCCTGACGAACTCCCTAGGCCTCCCAAGATGCTCAGGAACTTCGACCTTGTGGCGAATTTACCCACTAAAGCCGAAGAGAGCGATGACGACTACGAGGCCATCGACAGCCAAGTCGCTCTTCAGCATCAGCACACCTTTGGCAGTAAACAATCAATGCTAGGATCCGTGGAGAGCGTCTACAAGCCCTCGAGCAGCACCACCAGTCAGGAGAAAGAGGATGATTTTTATGAGTGCATTACAGAAGCAGTTAAGTAGATATTTTTATTTTTTCATGAGGCATGTTGAGAATTTTTTTCGATTAAAAATATACCAAATGTTATTTCATATGAAGCAATTTTCTGTGTAAAAACAATCCGAAAAATTACTAAGAAAAATTACAAATTGTAGATAATTCTCGAGAGATAATCGAGTTAGAGTTGAAATTTGGAATGCATGGGGCAAAAGTACAGGGAAAATTGTGTAACCGTTTGGTAATCGTGCTGTTTTAGCCGTTTAATAATTCTCTGGTAGTAGCATGATTACAGAGTGTGTGTGATTAATGTGACCAAGTGCTTATTAATTTGCGTGACTTGTTGCAGCCGGATGATAATGTCTACTACGTGCAGCCTATCATTCCCCCGTCGATTTCAACGGGTCCGCCGCCCCTGCCGTCGAAGCCGATCACCCCCGGAGATGCCCCTGCCCCCACAAATCCTCGGAAGATGAGCCTTCAGCATGGTTTGTACTACTTTTCTACTTTCATTCTCTAAATTACGAATTTTCTGGCTCGTTCTAGTCAAAATGATTAATTAATTAATTAATAATAATAATATCGATTAATTAATCATAATCATATGAATTCTTAGTCGAAATAATTATCATTATTAATTAATTAATTGTTTTTGTTTTCTGATATTGATGGGATTGACCCGAAAAAAAATATTGTTTTTGCATTTTAGCATTATTTTGTGACTAACAAAGTTTCATGAGCGTGTAATAATTTTAAAATGGTTTTCTTGATGTTTTATGAATTTGAGAAAAGCTTAGAAAAAATTTAGAAAAATTATTGCCCGATTATGAGCTTTTTTCGCATCAATCCGATCTACAAAATGAGGAGAAAAAATCGTTCCTCAAGTATATTTATTAAGCACAAGATTTAGGGGCAGGGATGAGTTGATAGGCGGTAACCGCTCTGAATTTTATTCAGTAATAATATCATGCATCAAAATTCCGAAAAATATCATAAATCAAAATATTACAAATGAACGGATTATAATATAAGTTATTTACCGCGTTTATCATTTAAACATTTTCCTGCATTTAACATTTAAACATTTTCCTGCATTTAACATTTAAACATTTTCCTGCATTTAACATTTAAAAATAATCACAAGACTGTAGAAAATAGAAAAGAACGAATGAAAATGATCGCATTACCTCGAAACTTCATGAGCCATTAAGGCTCGGGTGGATTATCTAGAAAAGATAATTTACTCCGAAATTCGGATTCCTAATTAATTTGGCAATTAATCGTTTTTTTCAATAATTGTTAACTAGCGTTCTAGCGGTTGTCAACAACTAGGCCGCTAGCTAACAATTATCGGAAAAAACGATTAATTGACGGAGTAATTAAAAGTCCCAATTTCGGAGTAAATTATCTTTTCCAGACAGTCCATCCGGGCCTTAAAGAATGACGAAACGCTAAAACAATATATTTTTTCATCTTTACCCATCAAAAATTTGTCAAAAAAATTATAAAAATGGGAATTTTTGCGGAAAGGGTGTTGAACATCCTCAAGCATCTGGGTGATCATACAAAGTTTCAATACGAAGAACGAAACAACGATAAATGCGAGAGGAGCAAAAAAAAAATAGGCAACACGTGGAATGCAAGTGGTGTTTGCCACTTGAGATTCGATTTTCAAGAGTCAGTACGCTCTGGGAGCACCAAGAGATCACTTCAATACTCCGAATCAAATAAACATGAAGTACTCGCGAAAGCCTCTTGATCAGTCAGAGACAATGTGATTTACATTTTTCATCATAATTCCTTGATTCGTCCTGCAATGCGAAAGATCATTGGCATGTGTTCATGCTTTTATCTGAGGATTACGCAACGTTTATTGAGGGGATTGACTTTGCGGTTGACTACCGAAGTGACTGATATGATCGTGAGGATCAAGAGGACCATCTCCAGGGGCTGCTACACAGAGTGTGAGCCCCTTGAGCCCCCAGGTAGTTAAAGAGACACTTCGATGATTATCATTCAAATTTATGTGAGTGAATTTATTCCTGGAGATGAGTGGATATGTAGAACAATAAAAATCTAGTACTTCCTGCGAGAATTATTATCGATTTTTCGGAAAGCTATCAATCTAGGGGAAAATATTGAATATTTAAAAATATTGAAATATTTTTTGCAGTTGAGTAATTTTCTAATACGAAATGTCTTCTCAGATTTTCTCATGACAGAAAATTTGAATCATTCCATTTATTTGACATTAACAATAAGGAATCAGCATTCTGCAAAATTGTAATATCACATTACAGTTAATAATCAAAGAATGAAATAAATAAATAAATAATATCAAATGAATAGATAATCCCTGAATTAAAAAATCGTCCAATAAATACAATATCAATTTTCCTTGGATTTGCTCTTTTTTGTTAAGAAAACCGAATGAAAATCGCTGGATCGTCTTCAGTGGAATATATAGCAACAAAATGATACGATAAAATTACATAATTTTCTGTAAAAATAGCGTTAATGCCGGCAGGGATTATTTATCGAATTTCTTCAGTTTTAATTTAATATTATTAGTCTACAGTATAGAAAAACCATTTATCCACTCAAATGATTGTAAAAAAATTAATGAAAAGAGAGGAAATTTGTTGAGGGAGGTGAAGAGACATTTTGATTTAAAGAGATCTGCCAGGTTTACAAAAAATTAATAAAAAATACAGAGTGTATTGTTCTCCGTCATCATGGGAATTGGTAAACTGTGTTGTTCATTACTTCTCTGTAAACCTGGCAGATCTCTTTAAGGCCCGGATGGACTGTCTGGAAAAGATAATTTACTCCAAAATTGGGACTTCTAATTACTCCGTCAATTAATCGTTTTTTCTGATAATTGTTAGCTAGCGGGCTAGTTGTTGACAACCGCTAGAACGCTAGCTAACAATTATTGAAAAAAAACGATTAATTGCCAAAGTAATTAGGAATCCGAATTTGGGAGTAAATTTTCTCTTCTAGATAATCCACCCGAGCCTTAAATCAATATTACTCTTTACTCCCCTGCCACGATCATTCCTCTTTTCTTTTATTATCTTTTTATAACCATAGGAGTGGTTTCCGCGATACAATTTAAAATCTAAACTTTATTATATCTTAAGCTAGAATGATGAAATTCAATCTGAAGATCACGTGCGGTAGATGGTCCGCACTGGCGTAAGAATAAATAAATTTTAAAAACGGAATGCTAGTAAAAATTCGAAAATTTCTTAGAGAAAGCACTAGATTTTTCTATAAATTTTTCCATGGATAGGGGCCACACGCCGAGGGACCACCGGACCGAATTCGGGGCTTCCAAGAGACCTCCTCAGTTACCTCTAAGTCCTCCTACTAGTCATATCGCTCTCCCTCCATCGTTCCCTTCGTTCTATTGAAAATACTCCAATTAATCTAATTTAATGAATTTAATTACTAAATTAATCAGTTCTCCGTCTGCAGCAGTTGATTCCTCGAGTGTTCTATAATTTTTTTAGTTATTGAGAGTGAATTTTATTGTTTTTCTTTTGTGGAATAAGTTTTAAATATTCTGGTTGTGAAATGGCATCTATTGGTGAACCAAAACGTATTGCAGTATTGAACACTGGAATTCCCAAGCAGGCGCGATTTTCTGAATGCTTGACTCAAGCCGCACTCACTCAGGCGAGATTAAATCTCTCCAGTCAGTAATTCAAAGATTTTATTATAACAAAAATGATAATAGAGGAATTTAATCAGATATTGGACGGAGATTGATAGCAATATGTCATCAATTATGGGGTTATCGAAATTGGTGGATTGACTGTGTCTTGAATTTTTGTAGAGAGACCGCCGGAGAAGAAGCAATCTCCACTGCATCACTCTGGTAGCAATTCGTCGCTGTCGGAGATGAGGGCAACGAGACCACTTCCACCACCTCCTGACAGACTGACTTACGTCGATCAATCGTGGTTTCACAGTATCACCAGGGAACAGGCAAATGCTGTTATCAGGGAACGTGAGTACAAGATCGTGAACGTTATCCAAACAGACGAATGTCTAGATAATTGTTACTAATTTAATAATAAATATTTGTCGACTATTTAGTAAGAGTTATCTAGCGGTTAAGAAAAATTAGTTAAAAGTTAAGAATTTTGTCTTCGTGTATATTTTCTATTTAAAAAGCGAAAATTGACCCGCCAATTTTTATTTAGGTCCACACAACGGTTATTTCCTCCTGAGGCCTTCGAATACAAACCCAAATAATCCATTCGTCCTCACCTTATGGTTCAACGATGGCGTCTACAACGTACAAGTTCGAAAACGACCCGACAGCAGGTAAATTTTGGAATTTTTGATTATTTAAACATGAAAAATTTCCAATGTAATCGTAAACGATTGTAGACTGCACGGTAATTACGCTCTTTAATTACGGGAGCAGCTCAAATAATTTATAAAAAAAAACAAGCTTGGAAAAGAAAACTCGGAAAAATAGAAGATATCAACAATAATTCGTTAAACAAAAGATGTAATTTTCATTTCCAGTAAATATATCTCTCCGTGTGAAGAAAAAGTTAATGAAATATCTTTGAGTAAACTAAATCTCTAAAATATTTATATAACATCCCTATTGAAATGTTCGTTTTAACAAAATTTGTTTGACATAAATAAATTGGATTGGCAGGAGTAATGTGTTCTGACTGGACAATATGGATAAACGTGATAACAAAATCATCATCATTGCAGATATGCCCTGGGCTCTCCACGAGCGCAAGAACAATCATTCGCGAGTGTCGAGGAGATCGTTCAATTCCATTCTCGCGAAGAGCTTCCCCTCTGCAGAGGACGTGTGCAAACGGGGAGCACGTTGCTGACGGATACGCCTCCCAAGAGATTGAATCCCTGAATCACCAGGTCACACAGCTCAATGGAAACACGACGCCAGACTGATCTCATCGTCATCCCCTTATTTCCTTTATGACTGATTTCTAAAAAAATCTCATGTGCATGACTTCATGCAAATTCATCTCGTTTCGATTTAATATGAGTACGTCATAGACATGCGTCACCATCCGATAACGTCCATATTTACTTAACGATGAAGTTCTTCATTAGATTATTAAGCGAACAACGGTTTGGAGAGCGAAGTGATAAAGTTAAATACATCCAATTTTACAGACTAAAAATATTCATTGATCTAAAAATTATTGATGCGAAGAGATAAACGGTGATAAGTGTATTCAATTAACACGTAATTAACAAGTCTTCGAGGAATCTATTTTTTTCTTTTATAAAAAGAAAAAGTGAAAATTTGATAACCACTCACACCTCAAATAATTTTCTGAAAACGTGATGGGGGAATTAATCGATATGTTGAACTTTATCTCTTTGTCCTTGCATTGATTTTAGGTGAAAATATTAAGAAATCTTTCTGATGGGTATTTGAAAATATTCAAAAAATTCTGCAGGGATTCTATTAAGCTAAGAACGGCTGGTGTCGAAATATTTTAATCCATAATTATGGAAACTGTTAATTCGGTTGATTCCACTTTATCACTTCGTCGTGAGTTTTATTCAATATTTATTATTGAGTTTTTTAATGAGTTCTTTTGATGTGACGAACACTGAGATCTGCTTGTACGTACCTACACGCTTTTGAAAGAGATAGGGGAATCCTCTAGTGTTTTTAAATATTGGGCCTTGACTTGACAGATTTATTTATGGACAGGTCAATTAACAAATTCAACACGAGGCGAATTCCCCGCGTTACTTGATTACGAATATGCATTTATTTTAGAATAAAGTATTTTATATTTTATATGCAATCGACAATCAAAATTTGTTATTGTATTTCAACGTTCAAATCAAAGGCGGGGAGAACTAGCAGATTAATTTCATGTGATTGTAGATGAGAGTGACGGTGAGGCGAATGAAATGAAATTTTAGTAATGGGTCTCCGTTTCGAAGATATTTTTTTGGACTTCGAATTGAGAAGAAATTCATTCCATTCGTGCTGCATATTCGAAGATTGCTATTTCCCTCCACGCACGCCTGCTTATGTACATTTTATATCGAACAAATAAAAGAGGAATTGAACCATTCTGAGGATTTCTATCTTATTGTTTTTTTCATTTTCATTACAGTCTGATGCCCCTTCCCACGATAATCGATATCACACTCGTCTCACACAAGGTTCGAGATATTTATTGGGAAATATAATCGTGAAACGATTTAGATTTCATTACAAAACAGCTTTTTTCCGTAATTGGATTTTTTATCAACAATCCGTTAATTTTATGTATGGCTGGTTACAGAAAGATCGACGCGCATCATGATTAAATTCGTCAGGAAAATACTTTTCAGGGCTTATGCCATAGACGACTATGTCATCACGATATGCCCGAAAGTAGCGAAGAAGCGAAATAAAATATAGTTCGTAACTTGTGCAGAAAGTGGTTTTTGGCGTTTGAATTATACCTCCCACACACCAAAAATCATTTTTCCGCACTTGTTACGAAATATACAATGTCGGCTATATTTTTCCCAGAATTCAACTCCTCACCGAATGAACCAATGGATTGTTTACATCTTGGAGCCCGGAAGTAGTAGAGCGGGCCAGCCGAAAGAGGCGCGAAAAAAGGAATTGAGGAGTGGTGTAACTATAAAGAGATTTTACTGTATATAAGTCACGAATACTAATAGTTATGATAAACATATATTAATTTTTTATCATTGAATAGGAAATTATAATAGTCGAGTTAATATGCATTATAAAAATCCATTAATCCTTAATAAAATAGCATCCAAACGATTGATTGAGCTTTTGTGTAATACTGGGTCAAACGACCAAGTTCGACACTTTCTGCGTTCCCTTTCTATCGTGAAGCGAGGTTTTTGTAAACATACTCACTACTGTGTTCTGTATTTGTGTAATACATTCATGAAACGGAGTATTTTCTGTTAGATTCTCGAATAATGGTCGCTTAAACAGTCTTTTAGCTTCTCTTCGTTGTTCCGGAGTCACAGTACGATCATCCAGGTGTTCTAATCTTGGAAACCACGATATCACAAATAATCTAAAACATACAAAAAATTAATCAGAGACAATTAACGATTAAATTTTCTCGAAGGTGGAAATTCGTTGGAGGATGAAACAAAAAACATCTATTGATAAATATGACAGATTTAAAACGCTTTTTTAAAGTTTTAAGTTATTAACATTACAAAAAACATCTTTTGAAATGACTCGAAATTGATTTGCTCAGGGAAAAATGTGAATTTCCCAGTGGATGCGCTTTTGAAAATGGAAAAATCATTCATTGTTAAGAGGATGATAAGCATTCAATTGAAATCCAATCATATTTAAACATTTCCTAGATATTACTGATAAGATTGATGGATGGATGGACTATAAAAGTTGACTAATACCTTAATTTGATAAAAAGAATTATCTAATTTTTAATTCTATATCTTAATTTTTCAGTTGATTAACGCTGACTGGTCTACACTCAACTTGGATCTCAACCACGTAAAGCTTAAGATTGAAATTAATTCTAAATCAATCACAAGCATATAGAAAAAAGTATAAAAAACATTGTCGAACATTCGAATAATGATAATAAATGAAATACAGAGCATAAAAAATGAATCAATACCTGTATTGTAGGTAATCATAAAATGTTCCTCCATTAAGATAACTGGGTGCCGACGTATTGCCCATTAAACAAAGATAACGAAGATTAGGCAGGCTCTCACTCAAATTCCTCAAAAAAGGAAATAATTGGTTGATATGGTTATGATTCAACCACAAGAGTTCTAGTTTCGGCAAGTATGGAAAAATCGTATAAGCATCAATCCTATTGTTATCTAGATTCAACGAAGACAGGTTTTCAAATTCAGTTAAAAACTGCAAATTCCTAAAACCAATGAAAAATAACAGTGTGAGAAAAATTCGTGTATTATTAAATTACAACAATAAAGGAATTATTGCAAACCTGCTGAATTTATTGTGACTGATGTCGAGTGTCGAAACAGAAGAATTGAATCTTTCGATGATATCGTAAGGCATAAAGAATAGATTTTCGAATGCGAGGGATAACGATGACTCGTCAAAGTCGCCTGAGATTAGCTCACTGTCATTTTCTGAGGATGTGCTGGAGTGTCTCTCATTGATGTCAGCGAATACTGCTTTGCCAAGAGAAGTCATGGCTATTTCGTCCAATTTTTTATCCGGATTATCAAGCCCATTCCCATCGTACACTCTGAATATATCGAAAGCAATCATTTTTTCAACTGTCATTCGCCACCTTGTCTCACGTCATTAACTTACTGCTTGCATATTTCTCCGTGATCTTGATCGAGTGCACAGAGCGTGTAGTGATGTACCAATGGCACGGGAAAGTACCATTAAATATATCATTAAAAAAACATATGTATAGAATTCAACTGCGAAGAACTGAGTAATATTAATTTTTAGGCGCACGGCTAGGAGAGGTGCGCAGCAACGGGTGCGCCCTGTCACGATTGTCACTGCGCTGTCAGGGTTGCCAGATGGCGGCTTTTTTTTTAAACTAGGAGACGATATCAAAGCGCGGAATGCGTCCGCTCTTAGGAGAACAATTTTTGAAAGATTCGTATCAATTCTGAACTTTTTAGAATTTTAAAATTGAAATAGAAAAAATAATTATTTAAATTTATTATAATTTATTAATATTTCTAATTTGAATGCATCCTCCGACATATTTTAACGAATACTAATTTCCAATTCGAATTCTTACAAACAAGTAAAGTTACAATTTAATTAAATTAAATTTATTCAATACAATATTTAGCATTTGTAATTACGAGAGTTTGCGATTATTCATAAATTTCATGAGTTAATTTATAATAATTTTTTTGATTGAGTACGTCATAGCAAAGTCTCAGTGAGCTATCAACCACATTGTTGGCGAAATGACCAATAAATCGCGTAATCATCTTGAATTGATTGATCGTACCTGCAATGAAAGAGATATTAAAAATAACCGCCTGTCAAATCTGGCTGCCATGTTGAAAAAAAAGTGACATCTGCTGGAGGATTCGCATAACTCTGGAGAAAACAACAATATGCATCAGACAAAACATAAATGACTTTGAAGATATAGTCATCTACTGAACATTTCGAAGTGAAAACGTCCAATAAATATCAACCAACTCTTCGTAACACATTATCATGACTGTAAGTAGATGTAAAATAATTATTTCTCATCATTTCATGACATTGAAAATCTTCATTAAACATTTCGTTTCGAGGTTATCTGTGGATTTAGTGTTATTGTTGATTAAAAATAATGTTTAAAATATTTTGACGTGATTTGTTTTTGCAGCAACGACCAGATGACCACAGGAGGAAGTGGAATAGGGAGGAATATGAGAGGATTGCTCTCCAGAGGCTTCAAGAGGAGATTGCTGAGGAAGAGTTGGGGATACCGAAAGCTCCGACAGTGAAGAGAGAGCTTCTCAAGCAAAGAGATTACAAAGTCGACTTAGAATCGAAACTTGGAAAGAGTGTTGTCATCAACAAAGCCACACCATCCTCACAGACTGGAGGGTACGAAATATGTGCCTAGATTTTAATCCTGTTCAGGAATGATCCACTCAGTCTTTCCACTTCTTCTGATGGAAAGGCACAATTTATTATTTATTATTGAATTTTTAAGGATCGGAGCTAATTTCGCCAATCTATTCATCTGCAAAATGAAGATATTTAATTAATCTCGTTGTTTGCATTCTTTCCTTGCAGATACTATTGCAATGTTTGCGATTGTGTTGTTAAAGACTCCATAAATTTTCTCGACCACATAAATGGAACTAAACGTGAGTATCGAAGATTTTAAAAGTCTTTAAAGACCTGTAGTTCATTTAATTGATCTTATTATATTTATTGCAGATCAACGAAACTTGGGAATGTCGATGAAGATCGAAAGATCGACATTGGACCAAGTGAAAGCCAGATTTGCTGCTAATAAGAAGAAAATGGAGGAGAAGAAGAAGGATTATGATTTGGAGCAGCGAGTCAAAGAACTCAAAGAAGAGGTAAATACCAAAAAGCCATAATTTTGGTTATGCTTTTACAGCTCGATATGTTCGTGAATTAATACCTCTTTTTATCTTTCTAGGAAGAAAAAATAAAAGAATATAGGAAGGAGCGTAAGAAGGACAGAAAAAGGAAAATAGAAGAAGCTAATGAGGAAGAAGAATCTGGGGCTGTTGATGAAATGGCCGCAATCATGGGCTTTTCAGGTTTTGCGTCCAAAAATCGAAAATAGTCGTTTTTAATTGCATTTCGCACGCACTGAAATTACCATTGAAGTTCGACGAATGGTAAATTTAAGTAATAAAATAGAAGGATAAAATGGTGAATTGCGATACTAGATTTTTTATATATTAATGGAATCTTTTTACAGAACAGTTTCATCTGCACTCAATAGAGTCTTCTACGTCATTCTCTCCTCTGAAAGTACTTGTTGAAAAGTATGATTATGCAGTGATATTATTACGTTTTTTTCTGAGGATATTAATATAATGATATTAATATCAATTTTATGCGAGTGGTTCAATTGAAGATAAATAATTAATTGCATAATAACAATCTGGTCTAAGAATTAATTATTAAACAAATGAAAAATTGGTCGGGATTTTGTCTTTTTTAAATAATAAAAAAATAAAAACAATTTTGAAATAATAAATAAATTTAAAAAATCTGGACATTGTTTATGGGATCCATTTCAGAATAATGGGAAAAATAACAACCATTCGTTTAGATTTTAAATAGAGTCTTCAATCTGTTCAGTTATAAAAATTTTCACTGTTCTTCAATATCATGATGAGGAATCCTGGGTTTAACGTTTTGCAACTAGTAAAAAATCTTCAACTAGAAGAATATGAATGTTAGTTTATTGAGATTGTTGTTCGAAAGGAGACATTTTCGTTTTTAGCGTCGAAAGAATTCGTTAAGCACCTATTTCTATTCTACAGAATGGATGAATGATTTCGAACTGTACCTCGGATGTAGGTATTATCGTCCTTTTTCATTCTTAATAATACAATGACAGAAATGAGAAAAGTAAACAGAAGTACGTAATTAGATATAAATAATTAGAAATATAAATAATAAATAGAGAGGAATCGTTGAAAACAAGAACTTTGTATACAAAAGTCGAATATATAAAAATTATTATAAATTCAATTTCGTTATATTAAAATTAATATATGATCAACATTTAATTTTGATGATAACATTACAGAATACTGAAGTTTGACTTTATTCATCAAATTTAATGAGTGTTTTATAATAAAATAACAGTAGATATGCCATAACTTTTTTTTAAATCTCGTTTTCTAGCCATAGAATAATTCTCTTAATCTCTTTCTGAATTGCTGATGCCTTCATTTTTAACATCTGACGTATTGATAAGAAGCGATCATGGCTGGTCTCCTCCTCATCATCATCGGTCTCTTCTTTTGAGATTGTTGAGATGAAAGAGCGTAACGAAATGAGTGAATCTTTCGATGCTTGGCCTGAATCCTGAGAGCGAGCACTTGCATTATCGAAACAATCTCCTTGACTGAAATCTTTACTTGTTACGCTCAACCAGGGATTGGAATTATCTGTTGATGTTGCATACGATGTTGACTGAGTAGCGATTTCTGAATAGGTGCATCGTAGATTTTCTGTGGTGTCGGTGCAATTTTCCGCGGAAAAATATTCGTCTACCGTTGAAGAGATTGGCTGCGAAACTTGACAAGCTGGTTCATCGTAAAAATTGACGTCTTCAAGAGACTGAACATCTTCTGGATTTGATATCTTTCTTCCTGGTATCGGCGATGAAATCGTGTCAACATCTGAAGACATAACTCGGTAATTAAGAGATGCGTTCGACTTTCGAGAATTTACTTTTTTATATGACATGTTTTCTGGACAACGTGAGTTCTCGTGACATTTGAAGTTCCTTGTGCTTAAAGAATCGATTTCTAATGATGAGCCTTCATATTCTTCACCGGTGAATTCGTGAGTAGATGATGCTGAAGGTAACGTTAGGCTATTGATTGTTTCAATTGACGATTCTGATTTTGGAAACGAAAAGCTCTGTTGTTTTACGTTTACTTCTTCTCTCAGTAAAGAATTTTCAGCACTTGAAATATTTTCTTCAAACGTGAAGATTTCTCTTACATTTTGCGAAATAATTTGTTGAGATACAAACTGCACTTCTTCATCATTGCTAATAAGAATGACTTGAGAGTCTGAGGCTGTTTCATTGTCCAGTGACCCATTTTTTTCAATTGCAAGGTTTTCCCCAGATGAGAGAGTATCTTCCATATCTGGAAGAATTTGCTCTTTTTCATTATCACTTATGAAAATGAATTCAGGTTCTGAAATTTTTTCATCATATTCCTGTGAGACTATTGGTTGAGGCGATGTGCTATCAACATTTTGTGAATTAATTTCCTCAGGTGGTGATATTGACCTAAAATCATGAACGAGTCGAACTTGATCAGCCAACAGGTTTGTCTTCAACATCTTTAAGACTTGCAATCCTGGATCTGTATTTTGCGTACGAACAGAACTATTTATCACATATGCAGATTCATAAATTCCAGTGGAACCGCGGTTTTTGATCGCACCGGGAAAAAAAGGACTTGCGCTTCTGAGATAATTAAACGCCGGGACATTAGGTGTCTGATGAAACTCTTCCAAGATTGGACGATTATGTGCCAGAGTTCTCCAATTATTTTTGAAATTTCCAGTGAATTGAAACTGCGATTGAAAAACTGGGGGAGTTGTGTGGTTGTAACAGAAAGGACTCCTTCGATTTTCCTTTCCAAAGGGATTGATAAGAAAGTCTTTCTGAGAGAGGATTCTCTGGTGATTCATTGAACCGTCAGATTGGCCTTGATAGTACGAGGTATTAAGTTCGTCCTGAATAATCTGAGGACTTTCAATGGGCGATGTCTTCAGGACATTTCCACGATTCCAACTGCTTACGTCGTGATCATCTTGCCGCAGATCCTGAGAATTTCTTTCAACTGTGAGCATTGATTTGCGTAAATTCTTTTCATTCGAAGTCCATGACAAAGTCTTGTGCAAAATTTTTATTTCATCAAATTCTTCGCTTTGGGTCTGGGAAAAAATAGCAGGACTCACTAACCCTTGTTTCATTCTGTTTTCAGATGACCCTGAGCTTTGACTGAAAGAAAAATTGTGGGGGGCCAGGAAATCACTTTTTTTGTCGCTGTCTTTATCACTTTGACTTGCGATCCTGTTCAGTCTCCATCCGGCACTGACATCAGACTTTTCTTTTCCATCTATATCTTCATTATCATTAATCGAACTGTTTCTCGAAGAAGGAGTAAAATAGCTCTTGCAACTACTGTTGTCCTCATCTAAGTCAGCCCAAGCCATCTTGCGAGCTTTGCTGGGTACATCATTCTCACTATCAGATTCATTTGATTGTAACGGTCTCTTTCGAAAAAACTTAGGAGTGAACTCAAGAATTTTATCTGGGACACTCTGTAAGGTGTCTGATGCATTTGATTCCTTGGAGTTAGCCTTGCTAAGCTCGTACAGGGACTTTTCGACTCGGGGTGCAAAAGAGTTCTGCCTTTTTGAAGAATTCTGACTGTGTGAGACTGCAGATCCTTCTGGCTTCATTTCTATTTAAAAAAAAGAAACAAATTAATAGAGGCGCAATGGAATGGTCAATAATTGATGAAATTGATGTTTCAACTAACGTTCTCGATAGTAGAAAAATATCTTTCGATATTTCGTAGTAAAATCGATTTTATCCATAGATATCGATACATTTCCCGTTTTCTATTTAAAGTCAATCAGAAAAAAAATCAGAGTAATGCCTTGTAATCAAATAATCTCGTGATTACTAATATAATAATATTTATAAATTCATTTTGGAAATCGAGTCAATGGCAAATGTTCCACTTTCTCCCAACCTTTTCTATTAAATGTGACATATCCATATTTCTGGAATATCATGCAAGAGTCTAGAAAGTCCTAAATGTCTTCGAGTCGGTTTATAATATTCAAGAATTTTCTATAAATATTTCTAATCTACCAAAGGGTAAACTGCAAAAACTGAAATGGTTTCTGAAAATTTTCTTCAATTAATTTAAAAACCTACCAAAATCTTGATAATCTCTATTTAGGCAATTCTCTTAAACCGGAAACGAATTGTACAATGAACAGTTTGCTTTCCCTCGAAGGCTACAGCCTTATTACACTGATAATGAAACGGAACTATTTTTATCTCTTGAACAGTTGAGTTTTTCTCTGTGCAATAGCTCAGACTAACCTGAATTGAAAAACTTATTCCTAATGTATAAATATTCAAAAAAATATTTGGAGTGCAAAATGTTGAAATCTCAAATGCCTTAACAATTTCATAGCATGCTTCATAAAAAAATGAATTTCAAATACACGAGGGGGTAACGACCAAAAAAAGTTCCAACATCAATTAAACACCATCTAAATTTTTCCTCAACGACTTCTAAATGATTTTCTTAAATATCTTCTGGATTATGGAAAATTTGGACCTTCAGTATAACAACCGAATAAAAATAATCTTGTACAGTTTTTTAATATCTTGTAAGTCCCGAGATATCAACGGAATTAAACATAAATTTGTGTTTATAGAACTAAAATGATTTTTTTTCTGAATGCAAATCTCAAAAACAATTAATACCTTTTTTGATTGTTTCTACGTGTGTTTTTTTAATATATTTGAAAGCTGGAGGATCTCTCGACTCTTTCTTCACTGTTTTCACTGTCAATAGATTCAATCCTTTCCCCAGATTCCCCGTGACCTTGTGAGCACCAAATCTAAGAGATATAATAACAAAATTAAGTTAATCATTTGTTACACGTTTTAGTGTTCCCGTTGAGGTTTTGTTTGACATGTGACCATGAAATAGCATAAATGTTTCATATTTTTGTTCATCTGACAATTGATTTAAGAATTCAATACTGGAGAGAAGGAATATATCGTGATTTTCTTTGTTACAGAAAATCAGTTCTTTCACATGAATAATTACTTGAAATTCATATATATTCAGTTGATTTCGTGTCGTTCTGCATTAAAAAAAAAAATCTGTGCATCCGAGCAAATGTTTTTGAATTTTATAGATCAAGCCACATGTAAGTGCAGATTTTTTTTAAGCAAAATTATATGGAGAATTCAGTACATCGTTCACCTTATAATATCTCCCATCAAATTTGGAATCCCCAATTTCTGAAGAGCCTTTCCCTTGATCTGTTTATCACTTAAAAACGGATACCTAATTTTCGCCAAACAAATCTCTCTCTCAATAATCTTATTCCAATTGTTACTAAACTCAAATTTCTTCATAATTTTCATACAGCACTTGTCAACAATGTCAAAACACTTTTTTTTACACTTGACGTGGGCTTTTGGCTCGAACTTTAATTCAACTACCGATTCTTCATGCATTTCCATAATTTATCGGCAAACTAATTCAACAGAAGCATGGATAAATATATTATCAGGTTCAATTAATCGATGGAAATTACTTACAGCTGGTGATAAACAACAGACGATCGTAAAACGTTTTCATTCGTTAGTTGTTTGATGTTCGTTGACAGTGATCTCTCTCGGAGATATGTCCACCGGTGTCTCAACTGTCAAAATCTCACAGAAATAATTCTCATTACTCCCAACAGGATCAATCAACTTCTTCGATATTCTCTCGATATATATTTTATTTACATTAACAAAATGAACACCATTTTTTCAGTGTCAGTTGGATCACCTGGGGGTCACGTGATCGCTTCTAAATAAACAATTGTTTTTTCATTGGATTTCGATATTAGAACGATGTGCCAACCTACAAACAGTTGCTTACCACCATTTCTAAATGATTTTTCGACTTACAGAGTATTAACAAATATCGTAATTTCCATTACTCAGTTTTATCGCCCAAATATTTGGAATTGTTTGCATTAATATATTTTTTTAAATGCACGATTAATTTCATAAAATTGATCTAATGATCTCGGGAATAGTGGACAGTTCTTGTTAATTTATTTACAGAGGTCTAATGTAAAAGAGACTACTATATTATAATAGTAGTAACGTTGTCTCATTAATTGTTTAAATACAAGAAGAAATGTCTTGAGTGAGTCTTGAGAAGAATCACTTTTTTATAATAATAATTGATCCAGGACAGAAGACAATCATAACCAAGGGCTTCCTTCAGATCACTCGTAACGGGGATTATAATTCAAAGAGGGATACGTAACAATAATGAATTAATAATAATATAATGGTAGTAACGTTGTCTTATAATAAAACAATAAATATATCGTGACTCGACTCGTGTAAACAACAATTAACAAAGAAAAAAAACAAAGAGCAGTCCGTACTTTGGTATATTTAATTCATCAGCTAGTCTGTAGTTCTTATAATTGATCTAGAGTTTAGACTATCATTCGATTAAAGTAAATACTTCGGATATAGAGAATTACAAATTGAATGGCTGGTCCATGCCTAGAAAATACCAAGACTGGAGCCTCCAGAATGCCATCCATAAATGCGTATGTGTTATATCTTTCCGTGCGTATCATCCCCACCATGTTAGACCTCCATCACTTTTTCTCTGGTACCTAGTCTTGAAAAGATCTTGCGGGAGTGTGCTATCCACCGCGGCAAGTAAAACCGAGATGAGGTACCTGACAAGGTAAATCCGCTGTCGCATCTCCGATTAATATCAATTAAATAGACATAAATGGACACGACGTAACATATCATACGTTTCAACAAATCATTGTTATTTAACGTATATTTGTTATACGTATTATATTCATTATTGTTGGTATCCACATAAAATGAACTTATTCGAATTAGTGCAATGAGAAAAATACGAGTGAGTAAGTGAAAGTGATGGAGATTCAGAAGAAAGTAATATCTCCGCTAAACGTTTATTCCCCAATGATTTATTAATTTTTTCATTATAATAAAGAGAATAAAACGTTTATGGTTTAACTCTCCAGAAAATTGCAAAGATGTTTTTTTCGTCTTCAATACCAACGCACGAAGACTTTTTGAGATGATTCTTGGTATAAAATGTCAGTGGTTTTTTTGGTGAGGCAATTTATTTACTTTTCGTGGCACAGATCGAACTTTTAGTTCGTCTCGATTGTAATACTGATGGGAAAAGTTACACGAAAATGTGAGTGAGAGTGAACTGAGTGAAGTTGTAGGAAACAGGAAGCAAAAGTGAATACGTCAGTGAAGTCATTGAGGGACGAGTTTTGTCACGCATTGATGTTTTGAGTATCTCTCGGATTTTAATCATCTTGCAAGATATTTTTTGGAGAACACTTCATCTAAAATGCCGAGAGCCTCCTCGTCGCTTCAACCTATTGAAGAATCCAACCCAACGAAATCGAGTAAGTGGATCATTAAACGGATATGCTAAAATTAAGGAAATTGCCAGAATAAATTACTGGACATAAAACAGTCAATTTAGTTTTATATTGTTCGATAAAAATGGAAAGGAAAGAATGTTTTGCCTCTTATTGTTTGCTTCCGCGAATATAATTCATTTATACCTCAATTTTCTTTTCTTTTCAATAATATTCTTTGGTTTCAGTCTTTCTCTCTTCATATTATGTCTTAAATATTGATGAGATGTATATGCATGCTTGAGTTACATATTCAATGTTTTCCTTTCACCTTCTCCGTTTTTTACGGAAGTGAAAATTGATGGTTGAACTTGATTCTTAAGTATGCAGTTTCAGCGGATTTTTCATTTTCGGTCTTTCATAAAATTTCATGAAAAGGAATTTCATAAAAATTCAGATTATAAAACTGAAAATTCGGAGTTGTGAAATTAATATGGAGAGAACGATTCCGATAAGGCTGTAATTAATGAATAAAAATTAGGCTTGGAGAAATGTTTTCTTGATTTTTTTTCATGAATATGCAAATTGCTCATTCATATGCATGTGGAGGTAGGAAGAGGGACATGAATCTTTGGTGCTACATTTACCGTTAAATAGAGAATCTCGGACGCCGATTACGGAAATGCGGACTGTGTCAGAGAAAATATTGGGAAAGATAATGACATGACAGAGAATTAAAGAAATCAATATGCCATTGATAGGTTTCAAAATTCTAATAATATTGTGGTCAATGAATGAAGATTGACGTTTTACGATTACGGAAATGCGGACTGTGTCAGAGAAAATATGAATCCCGGAAAAAATATCCCAGGGAAAAAATATCCCACACATTCAAAACGTGTTAAAACTCGCTCAATTTAATTATTTTTTAATTTAATTATTTTTTTCGTTGTCTATTTTTTCCGCCTACCAGAAAATATTGGGAAAGATAATGACATGACAGAGAATTAAAGAAATCAATATGCCATCGATAGGTTTCAAAATTCTAATAATATTGTGGTCAATGAATGAAGACTGACGTTTTAGAGTCCAGAATTAATATTACAATGAACGCAAGTGTTAATTCATTCATAGCTTTCGCATTCCGTTGATTATTCTAGAATGAAAAGGCAAAAGGAAGACAAGCACCAATTTAATTTTTGAGGTGACAGTATTGTTAATGTTTTTAAATAAAACATTGCAATAACGGGGTAGAGAAGAAAGCGTCAGCTTGGTAAATTTCTCGAAATAATTACCGAATAGATACAACAAATACTTAAAAATAATGTTTTTGTTTTGTTTTTTAGGATTCATAATCAATCAATCATCAAAAAATCGATTAATCATAAAAATGGAATCTTAAAAAGTTGAATCTATATTGGTATCGAATTTCCGCATTATAAATTGATGTCTATCATTCAAATTTTGAGAGTCATTATTAAATATTAATCATAACTGTTATTTTTTGTTAGGGAGGGACTTTATAGGACTGGTTCTAAAGACTTTTATAATGAGAAACAAAAGACTTTAAAGGACTTAACTTTAACCTTAACTTTACTAAATTCTTCTATCATAAAAACGACTCTGCCGAAATAGACAGCATATGTGCTCGCACATAATAATAATAATTAATATTAATGACAATTAATAATAATTAATGTCTCCATTGATCTCAATCAATTGAAAGAATTATAATTATTCCGTTCAACTTAATTTTTTTACTTCTAAATCAACACGTCTTGAAAAATGGATTCCTCATATCCATGTATGTATGGGTATATATATTTATTTATGTATGTATGCAGGGTTCTTTTTAGAAAGATTGAAAAAGTTTTCAGAAGATTTTAGGAAGTGATAGTAAAAAACCAGATCTGCGGTTCTTACTCCCCCAAACAGCGAAACTTTTGTCCTCTTTCCATCTGTCCTCATTACTTTGAAGAGTCGCCGGTGTATTTAATATCATATTGGAGAGATTTTGGTCTTGATTTTCAAAAGTAGGAGCCGGGGATAGTTGTGAGGATTGGGTAAATCGGGGGAAATTCTGAGGGCTATAATTTCGCTAGTTTCACATATCACTTCTTGGAGGTGCGGCGCTTCCACATATTTATTTCTTATCGTATCCTATCTCCACCGAGATAGATGTGAATGAGGGATTCCGGTAACTTCCTCTTCTAGTTAAATTTCCTTTGATAGCGTTCCTTCTCAGGACCTTCGTCGTGGAATAGCTCATCGCACATCCTAAGTTACTTTCGATGATAGTTTGCGTCGATCGAATTCTCACTGGTAGCACGTCCTGTTAAAATGGGCCTTGAGAAAACTAAATTATTCAACAAATTGTTCTGAAACTGTTAAATGAAATTAGCGAATAGTCGTAAACACATCTGTGAGTGCGAGAGCCAATTATTGAATTGAATAAATTTGTTAGAAATAATTAATTGAAATTTTGGAGTTCAATTGTAATTTAACTTGTTTGCGAGAATTCAAATTTTAAATTTTGGTATTTGTTAAAATATGAGGATGCATTCAATTTAGAAACATATTTGATGATCTCAACTAGTGGATCATTTTGGCTGAGGCTTGGCGGAGTTACTTATATCAATGTCAGGCATGTCAGGGAATTTCAAATTTTTGAAAAGGTTTTCCCGTTTCTCCGTTTACTCGTTTAATTCGCGGAACAATCTCCGCGCACTGACTATTTACGCACATACACGAGGTGCTCAAACTTCTTAGTTTTTTTTCCATTTCCAATAAAAATCAGAGGACGACAAAATTATTTAAATCCACTCCAAGTGGTGTTATCTCCATTCGATGCCAATGGATTCCGCAAAAATTGATTAACGACTTATTTTCATTTATTTTATTTTATTTTACAGTAGTGTGACTATTTGATTTTCAAAATGCAGTGAAAATAAAGATCACAAAAAAAAGAATTTAAGGCCCGGATGGGCTGTCTGGAAAAGATAATTTACTCCAAAATTGGGACTTCTAATTACTCCGTCAATTAATCGTTTTTTCCGATAATTGTTACATAGCGGTCTAGTTGTTAACAACCGCTAGAACGCTAGCTAACAATTATTGAAAAAAACGATTAATTGTCAAAGTAATTAGGAATCCAAATTTCGGAGTAAATTATCTTTTCTAGATAATCCACCCGAGCCTTAAGGCCCGAGTGGACTGTCCAGAAAAGATAATTTACTCCAAAATTGGGACTTCTAATTACTCCGCCAATTAATCGTTTATTCCGATAATTGTTAGCTAGCGGTTCAGTTGTTGACAACCGTTAGAACGCTAGCTAACAATTATTCAAAAAAACGATTAATTACCAGAGTAATGATAAGTCCCAATTTTGGAGTAAATTATCTTTTCCAGGCACTAGATAATCCACCCGGGCCTTAAAAGAACACATCTTTGTATCATTTCAGCAAACAGTTTCATAATTTTGTATCGAATTTCGATCGCAATCCATTCATCCCTATTATTGCGAAACTTTTCAAAATTTTTTTTATACACAATTTTGAATGACTAATGACCGTAAGAGAAATAGTATAATTATTGTAGCAACGAGAACTTGAGAGTAATTGTCGGATAAAGAGGATACTGGATCTCATACAATGAAAAATCTCGAGATTTCCACCTGCAGCTATAAAACATCTCTTCTCTCATATTCCATTTAATTTCGATTAAGCCTATGTTTATACGCCAGGTGGTAGATGCAATTCTGTTTTCGAGTCAGTAGAAAATGCGCAATGTCAGGTGTAAACCGTGCAGAAGTAACTAATTACCTATCCAACCTCCAGTATATATCATTCATCCACCACACGGTACTCCGTATCATGGTAATGACAATGCCGGACTTGAAGATCCAACGATAAATATGAGTAATCATTGTAAAGGAATCACAAACTCCAATAAGACTCCCTCTTTTTGTGATAATTGTTATTCATCCGGATACTGTGGGTGATGGACTTTAATGACCTTTCATTATTATTCCATCACCATTTCCAGAATCGTAAATTTTATTTTTTTAATTTTATGGGAAAGTTTGGAACTTTCTCCTCACCCTGGATGATCATAAAATCAGAACCGGTTGGTGTTTAAGGTGAAGATAAAGATTTCCCTTGTGCCAATATGCACAGATGGTCCGGCAGAAGTGATTAAAATCGAGGATTCAAGTATTCGCGAATTATTGGCTCAAGAATATGGTTGATCCATTCTATTAACCCTCGTTGAGTCCCAGGGTCTATTGCAATAGAGATTGCTAACAGACTAACTGCCATTTAAATTTCTTTGTATGCAACTTAATCTGTCCAATTTTTGGGGAGCTTGAAGGTAAAATGAGAAACTCATCTTTGCAACGTGCGAGGTTAATGACGAAATCTGTCCGGCAATTCTGATTGTAGGTGATAACGAACTTATTAGATTTTCAGGGTAAAATTAACAAACGCGTTTATTAACATTGGTAATAATTTCAATTTTAAATATTTCTGAGACTTGATAGACAGCAGGCATTTAGCAGAATAAATATTTACAAGAGACGGAAGAGGTAAATAATCAACCTGTTGATTATATTGAATAAAAATAAATAAAATGATATTGAACATCCCCCTCCCCTGGAGAGGGCAATATCATTTATGAAAATTATATTTAAATATTTTCTTTTTCCCTTTCTCTCTGATCACTAGATATATTTTGGCAAATATTCAAGTATTATAAAAACTAATGAAGGATTCGCGCTGGAAATTTTTGTTCGTTACAGTCAAGGAAAATCTCAAAGGACTGTGGGAATAAACTATCGTTACTTGAATGAGAAAAATTAAACTTGGAAAGAATTTTAATCTTTATATCTGGAAAGTCTCCGCTACCGCTATAAATTTTGACCACCGGTAACCGAGATCGAACCCGGATCATTGGCATGCTAGTCTATCACTTTTTTTTTAACCAAGTTTTTTTTATTTAACATTACATATGTACATTATTTACACCCTTAAAAAACTAGTATAAAAAAA